GAGAATCACCACATTTAAACATTTAAGCCAACAGCTGAAAACAAATCAACAGATGCTCAGATCATGGATAAGCTTAGGGTTTTTTTTAATTACATGTTTGTTTGTTGATAATATTAGTTCAGTATGTGGTGATATCTTGGAACAGTTGATGATTATTATCTGATTTGCTCTTATGAACTGTTATATATGTACTTTAATCTTTTATTAGGTCTACCTTTTATTATTGTGAGTGTGCACATGCATGGGTGCTTGTCCCAATGGTCAGAGGACAGGAAGGAGTCAGTTCTCTCCTTCCAGCATGTGAGTTCAAAGAATACAGTGCAGGTGTGGCTCCATCAACTGAACCATTTCTACATCACAAAACCACCTTTTAAAATAATCATATATGTATATACATTATGTACATATATATAATCAATTAAAATATCAGAAAATCCGTTTCTGATTTCAGGGTTTTCATTTATTTTCTGTCTTATAATATTCAATTGTTTAGAACAGATTATTGACTTATATAAACAGGTAATCAAGAAAACAAATCTGCTTCAATAAGAGAAGAATTCTATAACCACATTTGGAATTTGAGAACTTCTTTGGAGGTTCTAACACAGGAGTGCAGTTACTCATATGCCCTTCACTTAGGACCACTCCTCCTCCTCTTATGTGGGAATGTCATCTTTGTGTGATCTCATCCTCTTCCACCTTCCATAGAGTGCATAGCGTCAATAGAGACACATATGTGACAGCGAGAGAGGAAGGAGACCCCAGCCTAAGGAGCCAGGTCAGCAGAACCACCCCAGTAATCGAAGGAGTGAAGGATATCACTGCCAGATCGCTTTACAGATCACTTCCTACTTTGAATTTAAAAGAGTCTCCTTAATTAGTTTTATTTTCATTATTATTTTTATTGTTTTTAACCCACTGATCCTAAAATTACCTACATATGATTACTAAACATCATATTAAACTAGGTATGATAAATCATGAGGATTTACATAACTGATATGAATATGTCTTTTATATCTAAATACATGACTTATAAAAAGTGCTTTATAAACTGTAAATTATGTTTAAATGCTTTTCTTTACCAGCAACAGTGTAGATCCTTGATACTTGGACTCTATCAATTTGGACTTTTGTCTTCTTTAGAATTGTAAAGCCTGTTTCTCTTTAAACCAAGTATTATCATATTTCAACTGAAGGACAAAATTATACTCATTTTAGACACACCCCTGAGTAATCAGCTCCCTTCAGAAAGATGTTTTGGTTTAATAATGAAAACATCTTAATAGCTGAAATTATTACCCACTGAGCCAATCACCATAATGTCCTCCAACAGACAATTTTTTTGGAATGAGCAGCAGCCTTTCCAATGATGCCTCTTAAGAAAAATGTCTACAAATGTTAACATTCTTGATGGGAATGGTTGTTGTTTCCTTTTTCTCGTTCTTTTGCTTTCTTCATGCTCTCATCTTCCATTTGTCCCCTTCACCATTGTTCTTTCTCCCTTCCTCTTTGGCTTTCTTGTCCCTCTGCACCTTGCAATTTTCTTTAAACTGCCAGTGTTAAACACACAGGAGAGACTTCAGATTTGTTCTTCTTCTGTGTTTTTGCATTTGTGGTTCTACATTCAAATAGCATCATTTTCCTCCCATGCTGCAAAGAGACCTGCCTTAACATTTGAAAGAAATTTATTTATTTTTATTTTATGTGTATGTGTGTTTTGCCTGCATGTACGCCTGTGTGCTGCTGTGTGCAGCACCCACAGACATAGGAAGAGGGCATCAGATCCTCTGGAACTTGAATTACAAATGGTTGTGAGCCTCTGTGTGGGTTCTAAGAATCAAATTCAACTCCTCTGGAAGAGCAGCCAATGCTCTTAACCACTGAGCCATCTCTCCAGCCCCTGCTTGACTTGTTAAAATTGGATCCCCTTCTTAGAAAAGTTAACATAGAAGTGTATGTGCAAACACATGCATGCACTGAGATACGCTGTTGAGATCACCTGAATTAAAGATTTTTACATAATAATAGCTCCCTAATTTCCTCTGAAATTGAAATTGGTTATTTTACAATACTAAAATAGAAATTATATATGACTATGAATTTGAAGAATTTAATGATTTATCAGTAGTTACTTGTTTTTATAGTTGATAAATGTTTTGTGGTTTCTACTTATTCGGTTGATAAAGTTATCAAAACATCTTACTAAGATCTTCAGAATATAACAATGGTGACAGCAGTCTCTTTTGTTAGTCAGGTCATGCAACAAGACGTTAAGAAATATTTAGAAAAGCGTTTACCACTGTATTTGTCATATTTCCCTAGAGTAACAAAACTTATAGAATGAATATATATACATATTTAGATATATATATAAAGATATAGATAAGTAGATAGGTAGGTAGATAGATGGATGGATGGATGTATGGATAGATGATAGATAGATGGATAGATAGATAGATGGATAGATAGATAGATAGATAATCTTTTTCTTTATTCCTGCCCTCATCTTCCATCTGTCCATATATATTCAGGATTTATTAGAATAGCTTCAATCCAACAATTACTGCATATGATTGGACGATCCAAGAATCCAGTAGTTGTTCAATCTACAAGGCTAGATGTCTCAGCTGGTCTTCAGTATATGCAGGAATTCCATAAAGTAGACTTTCATGCTAGTAAAGAAATGGACTTGCTAATGAGAGCAAGCAGGCAAAGAGCAAACAAGCTTCCTTCTTCCATGCTCTCTCTATATATGCTGCCAGCAGAAAGTGTGGTCTGGACTAAAGGTAGATCTTCCTACCTCAAAGATCCATATTAGAAGTGGGTCTTCCCACTTCAAATTACTTAAATAAGAAAAAAACCATACAGCTGTGCCCACTCACTTAGGCTTCAGTTAATTCCAGATGTAGTAAAGTTGATAACTAAGAATAGCCATTGCAACCACTTACAGTAATGTATCCTCAAAGACTTATTTGACAAGGATTCACATAGATGCTATATATTTCTTAAAGGGAATAGTATACAGTAAGTGGTGAATGGCCTTTCTACTAGGTGCAAAGCTCTTGGTTCAATTGTCTGAACTGTAAATAATAAATTGGTCAACAAATAAATTTATTAATTATTTCTGTAATTCTACCACATAGTTTATCAATGGGTCTTTAGTTATTTATTGAAATTTCAACCTCTTCTTATAGTACTTACTGTTATGTATATTGAGATTTTTGTTTGTTTACTTGTTTACTCTTTGCTCTTTAGGGGCCTTCCACCCTGCTCCCAAATAAATACATGGAGTCTTATTCTTACTTATGAATGCCATGTCTTAACTTGGTTTATTTCTAGCTAGCTTTTCTTAAGTTAGATTATCCTGACTACATTTTGCCTCTGAGCTTTTACCTTTCTCTAGTCTATATACCTTTCTTTACTTCTTATTCCAAGATTGCTTGTGTGGCTGGGTAGCTGGACCCTGGCATCCTCCTCTACTCTCACTCCTCCCCCTACTCCCTTTTCTATCTATTTATTCTCTCTGCTTGCCAGCTCCACCTATTTCTCTCTCCTGCCTAGCTATTGGCGATTCAGCTATTTATTAGACCAGTCATGTCTTTTAGAAAGGCAAAGTAACACAGAAGTAAACAAATGCAACACAAAAGAATGTAATAGATCTTTGCATCATTAAACAAATGTTCCACAGCGTAAGTAAATGTCACACATCTTAAACTAATGTCCCATGGCAGTTATGTCTCTCCTTTGTATCTCATCTTTTAATTCACTTACATATAATAGTTGACTTTTTGTTTTAAAGGATTTATCATTTTATTGGGATATAATTAAAATATTCTTTTGACTAAGATTGCCCTCCAAACAATAATTACTTACAAACAATATATGGCCCTAAGTTCTCAAAAACAAAAGTATGGTCTTTCGTATGTTTATCATGAAGAGAAATCCTGTATGTTCAACCGATAGTCTAGCGTACAAATATTTGTGCACATAGTTAGCGGCATACTTCCTGCTTCACTGTGTATGTGTCTGCATGTGTTTATGTTATCAGAAATACATAGACAGATACTCTATGACATATGTACATGCAGTTACCTATTCACTGTTAAATGTGGCTTAAAGTTTAAAAGATAAAATTAAATATGCATACAATGATGCAAAGTTAAAATTAATATTGAATCATAGCTACTCAATGATTTCAACTTTAAAAAATAACATAGCTACAATGAGAAAAAATGAAAGATACTCCCCTAGTCACATGTCACCAACTAAGTCCATTTTTGAATGTTAGAGTTTTTCTGAAATCAAAATTTCTCCAAGTTTAGTTATGGACCAATACATTTTATGGGAAAATAAGAAAATTAATTATATAAATAATAGTGGTGCTAGATATAGTGACACACACCCAGAATTCTACCAGCCAGAAGACTGAGGGAGAAGGATCATGATAAGTTCAAAACAACTTTTGCTGCACAATAAATTCTAGGCTACCCTGGGCTCTAGTGCTGAAAAACTGTCTCAAAATAAACTAAATAGCCCAGGGACCTAGGTTAAAACCAAATACTACTTTTTTTTAAGTAGCAATAAAATGACTCCTAATGATATTCTGCTGTACTCATAGATCAGTGCCTTGCTCAACTACCATCAGAGAAGCTTCCTCCTGCCACAGATGGGAACAAATATAGAGATCCACAGCCAGACATTGTAGAGAGTAAGAGACTTGGAACACACAGCCCCATATAGGACGTCTCCATCAAATCCCTTCCACCAGGGCTCAGGGAAACCTGTGGAATAGAAGGCAGAAAGAGCCATAGGTGATGGAGGGCCCCAAGGAAACAAGAGGAAATTCTGCTCTCTACCGTATTTCTTAGCAATGTGTCTAAGTTGTTTAAACTTACTTACATTAAAATGGCTTTAGATTCTTTTACTATTTATGACTGGTTACCTTTTTTTGACTTTACAGAGTATTTAACTTGATCACTCTGGTTTTCCTCTGACAGTTCATTCAAGCATTTGATTGGAGGACTGGATGATGTTTCTAACAAAGCATATGAAGATGCAGAAGCAAAAGCAAAGTAAGTGAGATTTCCTTTGGAGGTTTCATCTTGATAAAAATAATTTTAATAGGGTAAGGTCAAATATTTGGACTTCCCGTCAGTGCTCTGGCAGTATGACTGTGATTAATATTAAGCAAACAATGTACTTGTTACATAATATGCTTACTTAGTATTGCTATTTTCAACATGAATCTAAATTTTGTAAACATCAACTCAAGAAGGTAAGTGATAGTTTAAAATCTGATGTAAACAATTATCATGTTTTTGTCGACTGAAAATACTTTCTGATGATATTAGATGCTAAATATCTCATTAATTATAATTTTTCATAACTGCAATTCTTTTACAAGACTGATTTGCTATAAAAACAAAACCTTAATGCTTGCAAAGATTTGATATATTCAAATTTTTATTTCAAAGAAATGTTTCTTACTTTGAAGAAACAGTGGTCTTCATAATCCTTCTTCATAATTCATATACATAGGAAGCAGAAGGAATAAACATATAAAATTTAGTGTTAAGTCCAAGGTTCACGCCACTAATTTTGTAATAACCTCAAGCACAAAAGAAATAAAATATTTTGCTCTAAGAATCCATGAAAATATCATTTGACCTAGGAATAAAATATTAAGAACTACATTCATATTAACCTCTGAAATACATGCAGGTGTGTAAATAAGATGACTGGTGGACATCTTAAAAATGTAAGCAGCTGCTTTAGACTTACAGAAAAAGTCAACTGTCTTACAGAACATAGTCTAGCTGCTTTGCTATCTGTTTTCTTACAACTTTAGGTAGACAACTTTCATATCACTCCTATTATTCAACTAAAAGTTGATACCAATCTTAGCCCTAAAATTACCCGTGATGGGGAAAGTAATTGTGAATGAGACCCTTCTCAAAATCGATTGGCTTTTTAAAGATAACTGACAGTATATGAACTGTGACCATTCTCAAATTCACTTACACCTGCTGCACTTAAGAGAATAAGAAAGAATGTACTTAATCCAGATTTAGACAATTAGAAAGAAGATTTGACCATAGTATGCCACACTGTTGCATGAACCTGGACAAAAGCTAACAGTCTTTGCTCGTCTGCTCACTCTTGGTCATGACTCGCAACACCTGCCTCTCATCATCAGATAGCACATCTTTAAAGTGGTAACTACTGTAGCATTTTGATTGATGGCATTATGCAAAGTAAATTGCTAAAATGTGGATGTCCTTGTTGAAGTAATTTTTGGAAACACACTTTGATATATGACTATGATAACAGATATTAATTATTCCATATACATAAAATATTTTGCAAGACTAAGAAATATTTAATATTATATAATTTCCCATATTTATAGTAATTTGTAAAATCATACTTAGCCTACAAAGTATCCATATATATAGTTTTATAAAACAGTAACAGGATTAAAGAATAAGAAGTAATAAAATATTGTCTACATCAAGATACTTCCCAATGTTTGTTTGACTCATGTATTTGCTAGACTATAATTTGAACATCATGAAATAAGGATACAGTCTTAGGGTATGCAACATGATTTGATATACGTATTAACTAGGAATTAATCACAGTAATTAAGCTTACTAACCACATCCATCACCTTACTTAAGTTGCTCTAACCACAGACTTGATTGTAATTATTGATTTGGTTAGCCATGGGTTGTTGGTTTAGCCACTGATGGGATCAATCACTAGTCAGATTAATCACCAATTAGATCAACTGCTAACTGAATCAAACTTGGTTATAGAGACCTCTGATTAGATGAGCTACTAATCTGATCAAATGCTGTTGAAGAGGCCATTCCTCAGATGGCCTGCTGACTGAAAGGCTGTCTCAGAATACTCATTGTCTTAGCAAATTTCATTCAAAAGAGATTTATGTTAAGTTGTTTGATTATTACTAAAACCAAGTGAATGTATACTTAGTACACAAAACATAAACCTTTAATCAGAATTCTAGAGAAAGTGATAACAAACAGATATTAGAGTAGTTGTCATTATGCTTTCTATATAGTTAGCACGTCATACAGTGCTAACAAATAACATTAGAAGGTGTCTGATGTAGTAGCCATCCCTCAGTCTGATGTCCTTATGTTCAGAGGAGGCAAACAATGAATTTCCATGGGGTAGGTTTTTATCTGCACTAGGAAGCTCAGATGTCTATATGTGTTACCATTGTTGTCTCTTTCCATTGACTTTCTTTCCTTTAAATACATTTTACATTCACTTGGTATTTAAGGAACTTTAAAAAGCTTGCCTATGCAATAGAAACTAGAAACATCCTCTAATTGTTTAAATTGTTATATAGACCATGAAACCTAAAGCAGTTACCACAGAGGTGATAATTAAACTCTACTGTGTAAATCGTGTTTTTCAAGGTCCTCTTGGTTTTGCAAAAGGCATGAAATTTGATGGTAATATTTCTTAAGACTCCACAAAAATGGTCATGTTAATTACTCATGTAAAATGATTATTTTTTCCATGTCCATTCTTATTTGGGAAAGAGGACATGAAAGTAGGACTGACTGTAACAACTGATTCCTTTGAGACACTTAAAACTCAGAGGTGAGGAACTCATTAAATATTGGCATAACACTCTTAATGGGAGACTGATTGCTCTCAATTAAACATACTATTATTCTCAGAAAACCCATACCAAGTATGTATGTAGATCAGGGAGTCCAGGAAAACTGGCTTGAAGCAAATGCCCAACTGCAATGGTTTTCAAAACTCTTCTACTGAAGGATATGTATCCTCTGCCTATATTACAATTTACGTCCTAAATTTATTCTTGAATGAAACTTTACTCTTATGGCATGTTCAGCCTTTCTTAATTGCTGATAATCTTCCACTAAAGGCTTTGCTTTTTAAAATATGAATTATAGCCACAAGGGTTGAGAGAAAAAATGTAATATCAAAATTAAGGATCAACTTGGAATATAAAGTAGTGTGTGTAATGATATGTCCATATCATTCTTGCTTTAAAGACACTCATTCACTTAATAAAAGCATATTTTAATTAATTAATATATTATAATATATGTTGTACCTTGTACTATAAAATGTGCATACTGATACAAAACAATTTTTAAATACTAGAGAATATCTTGTCATTTGAAGGGAGACAGATATATGTCAATAGTTATTTTGACCTCATACTTCTAAGAATAAGTTATGACAGTTGTTATCAGATGATTTTGAGTATCCTACATCCATCCATATGTAAAGCTTGTCTTGTAAAACCATGGCTGTCTATAAATCTAAATGTAAATGCTTTATTTCATTATTTCAAGTATTTTTGACAAACAAGTCTATTTATTAAATAGTATTTTTATAGTTAGAAGATCATCAACGCATTCATTGCTTAGAAACAATAAGCAAAACGACTCTTTTTTCCTAAAGAAAAAACCCTAATTCATATATAGTATACTTTACATTCAACTTAGCTTATCATAAAACCTTAACAGTAAAACTTACACTCTTAAAGTATTTCATGAAAGTCATTATTATATTATCAAGCTGAGGGCTTATAGAGGGCAAAAATTAAATGCTATTTTTATTTATAATGATATTTATTATTATTAAAAATGTTTTTTACTTTTACTTTTTGTAAAAATATTATGGCAAGATAGAGAAAGAAAAAGAAAACCAACCAAGCCAATCTAACATATTCTAATTACCTTTGTGTTTTAATTACACTTACATATTTTATATATTGTTTTTATCCATTTAGTATCATCTCATTGTAAACATACAGCAGCATTCTGTGTTCTTCTGATATCATCTTAGTAGCTGACTGGGAACACAGTGAATGGAAACCTGTTTTCTAGATTGATTCAAGTTAAAACCTTCTTCATTCAGTTAATTTTTCTTTTGAACATAAGTTCTTAATCACCCCTAAAAACAGAACAACACAAACAAAACCTTGGCAATAGCAAAAGTCACTTACTTACACATATGGTACATCCAGCTGTGCAAATTACTCTATATCATGCATCCATGGAAAGTTGCAGAATTTTAGACTAGCTGGTCCATCTGTCACCTGCTCTATCCTGCTGTCTTATCTTGAAGCCTGGGGATATACATATCTAGGTACTTCCACTGAGATATTCTGACAGCTGTGTCAGTAGATTAGTGTATGAATTTAGTAACAACCTGAGTTGATGAGACCTAGTATTGTTCTCCAGGAGAATCTCATGTTAAAAATCCATGTGAAATATGCCCATGCTTTATTACCTGAAATGTCACTTGTTACATAGACCTAGACTCCCTCTGATAACTCTAAGCTCCCCATGCACCTGCCTCACACCATGTACATTCATTTTTATAGACATTGATTTACTCAACAGATACTCTCTGTATGCCTACAAAATCCCCTGTCCCCATAAAATAGTGACTAAAACTGATGTGTTCCTTGCTTTCATGATGCGTTTGGTCTAGTGTGAGAGAGATAAATAATCACTATGACAAGAAACCTATGATGAAGTGACATTATCAATGCCTTTGAGCTAAATCCTAAGTAATTAGTTGATGAAAGACTGGCGTTCGTTGAAGTGGGCTAGGCAAGTAGGCACAGAGAGAATAGAGAACAAGCATGAAAATGACAAATGAGACGCTAGAAGGAACTGGTGGGAATGGAAAACAAGAGGATCATGAAGCTGGTGATTTATTCCTGAGAAATTTAGCTTTTAAAGCATCAGGAGAAACAATCAGAAAAGACTGAGGAGACATGAGAGGTACAAGGAAAGCCAGATGTATATGATGGCAATGAGGCCAAGAACAGAGTACAGTGTCTTGGTCCTTTTAGGCTGCAATGGCAAAATGCCATGAATTGACCATTAAGATCAAACCTGCCAAGACCCCCCTGGAATGTCCATGTTTCTTTGCTTCTCAACTCCTTCCATCCTGTACCATATCAATTCACCTGTTCTATGCCTCGGTCCCCAGAAGAACATGCTGTACTTTAGGCAGAGAGATGAGAGGATGTTCAAAAGAGAAACAC